CACAGTGTTGATATGGTTCTGCTAGTTTTGTGAGTTTCTCTATGGAACAAACCTCGCCCTGTTCATAAATAAAGGGTAGCAATGCCCTAACCGGTTTGGCTCAATGGATAGAGCATTGGCCTGCAGACTCAAGGGTTCCAGGTTCGATTCCAGTCAAGGACATGTACCTTGTTGTGTGCATGCACAAACCCAGTGGGGGGTGTGCAGGAGGCAGGTGATCCATGTTTCTCTCTCGTCGATGTTTCTAACTCCCTATCCCTTTCCTTCCTCTCTGTAAAAAAAAAATCAATAAAAATATATTAAATATATATATAAAGGGCAGCATTTACAGTCAATGGTGGCCCCTATCCTTTGGCCGTCTTATTTTTCACAATATAGAGTGTTTCAGAAATATTAACTCAATTTTGGCTAATAAATAATTATGAGCACTCTAACAGCAATATTTACTACTCTAAGATGGGAAAGATTTCAATGATCATTTAAAAGGTATAAATGTGGCTCAGTGGTTGAGCATCAACCTACAAATCAGGAGATCACGGTTGGATTCCCAACCTGTGAGGGCACAAGCCTGGGTTGTAGGCTTGATACCTGGTAGGGGGCATGCAGGAGGCAGCTGATCAATGATTCTCTCTTATCATTAATGCTTTTGACTCTCCCTCTCCCTTCCTCTCTGAGATCTATCTATCTATCTATCTATCTATCTATCTATCTATCTATCTATCTATCATCTATCTATCTAAAAGGTATGAATCAGTGCAAGTATATAAACTTACATGAATCTATTACTCATACTTAGGATTCTCTCTCATTACTCTCAGACCTGTTAGCAAAACCCACACATTTCTACTGCAAGCAGGGAATCCTATATCCTGCTGCTTATAATTAAATGCAGATTTAATTATAATAAACTCTACATTAGCACGTTACTAAAAAATAAATGTAGCAACATTTATTTCTACTTTTATTTCTATTATTCTAAGTAATGTTTTTTTAAAGACCCAAATATCATACTTGATCATTAACTCTAATCAAGGCAGATATTTCCTTGGTTTCTTGAAGGTCACTAAAGAAATAAGAATCAAGGACTATATGGTAATAAAATATTTTAAAAAGTCAAAAGGGGCAAAAGTATGGAAAATATGGAAAGGAAAATAGAAAAAAACACACAACAAAACCCTAGTTTTTCTAGTTCCAACAGGGTCACAGCATACTATGAGTAAGATAGAAGAATAGTCTTAATGGAACTATCTAACCAGCTTTATTCTAAGTTTCCAAGGAGTAAGGATAAATTTGAATTTTGCTAGCAAAGCATAAGATAAGAAGAATATGAAGATTCAACCTTTTATACCTTTTTTTTTCAGGTTAAAAAAGGACAATGTTTTTCACTAAAAGGACATAAAAATTATTAATATGATACCTGCATTTTCCAATTTTAAGCACTACAAAAGACTAAAATGCTAAACGAGCTACTATCTCTGTTTCTGGAATGGTAAAGATGATTAATTTTTGAGGTTTACTGCGATTCTTGCTGGAAACATAGAAGAGGTAAGGCAGAAATCAGCACCTGAACAGACAGATGGCCTAACAGTGCACAATTTTCTATGCCATCTCTATCAACTTTGACATAATTTTTAGTATATTCACATCTTGTTCCAAAAGTGTTCCAATTTTAGTGTCTGTGGTCAGGAATAAACAGCACTCAGAAATAAACACTACTCAGAATATGTTTAAGGGAGGAGTAAAGAAGAACCATCATCTACTTTTCTGAAATACTGAATTTCTATCACTGCAACTTAAGATCAAATCACCCCTAACTTCTATGGGGCTAACAGACAACTAAAATCCAAAGTCTAGTTTGCTCACCTGCTAAATGACTGGTTTTTGCACAACAGTTTCACAGTACATCCAATTCAAATTCATGCCTTAACCAAATTACCAGTAATTAAAATGCTACCACACTCAATAAATATTCTTAAAGTGAGAAAGGATTATTCTCAAAGTTTCAGAGTGGAAAGTAAAATGTTAAATGGTTAAATACAACTCGTTTGTTTTTTATACCTCCGCTGGATCTGGCCCATTCACTCCTGCAGGTGGACTTCACTTTGCCAGCTAAGCACCAAATACTCTGTCACATTATAACCTGCTCTGTCTATGGCCCCAGGACTCACATTTACTGTTCTAATGTTGAATTCATTTACTGTTTGTTATAATAATCTGTACTAATTAAAGCCTAGGTGGCCCTCCCCCCCTGTGCACAAATTTCATGCACTGGGCCTCTAGTACAATATAAAATTATAATGCATAATAATTACGCTATACATATATAATTGTTCAAGAAATACTTGGTAATACATTAAATATCATCTATAATAATAAAAGTATAATATGCTAATTAGACTGGAGAGCCTAACGACCTTCTGGCCGTCCTTCCGGATGTCCTTCTGGCCGAAGCCAGGGCTGCAAGGGCTGAGGCAGCCACTGCAGCTTCGAGGGCCAAGCCCCTTGCACGAATTTCATGCATTAGGCCTCTCGTAATCAAGTTAACACAGAAAAATATACTACACAAAACATACTGAATAAAACATGAATAAGATGTAATAACATAGCATATAATATTAAAGTATAATATATGTAAAACTTACAATACAACCATTACTCTTCTTTCTGAAACTTAAAGGGAGCACTCTACTCTAAAAGCTTAAGTGTCTCATAAATAAACTTTCTGGAAGCAGATAATGCCTTTAAAATCAGTAATATCCTAAACTAATGTGTGTGATCTTTTTAAAAATGTACTGTTTATATTCTCTACTCACTTGCTTCATTTAAAGGATCGTTTCTTGACTTCAGATGTTCTACTTCTATATTCTGAAATCCTAAAAACCTTCACGGATTCATTATCACTCAAAATACAAAAAGCTTTCTTTCCCATCTTCATTGAAACACGGACAAAAGACACTCTGTGTGATACTGGTCAAAAGAACGGATGAGGAAGATGGCACCAAAAGCTAAGAAGGAAGCCCCTGCCCTTCCCAAAGCCAAAGCCGAAGCTTTGAAGGCAGAGAAAGCGTTGTTGAAAGGCGTGCACAGCCACCAAAAACAAGACCCGCACGTCACCCACCTTCCGACGCCAAAGACACTGAAGCTCCGAAGACCCCCTAAAATTCCTCGGAAGAGCACCTCAGGAGAAACAAGCTTGACCACTATGCCATCAGCAAATGGCCCTGACTATGGAGTCCGCCATGGAGATAGAAGACAACAACACACTGTCTTCATTGTGGATGTCAAGGCCAACAAACACCAGCTCAAACAGGTGGCGAAGAAGCTCTACGACACTGATGTGGCCGAGGTCAACACCCTGATCAGGCCGGATGGCGAGAGGAAGGCATATGTTTGACTGGCTCCTATGATGCTTTGTTTTTCTTTTCATTTTTTAATATATTTTTATTGATTTCAGAGAGGATCGGAGAGGGAGAGAGAGTAGAAACATCAATGACGAGAGTGACTGATCAGGGTGTTGACCTTCGCAGCATCATTGATTGGATGCTTTGTGCACATCCCCGCCTGGTATCAAGCCCACAACCTGGACATGTGCCCTGACCGGAAATCAAACTGTGACATCCTGGTTCATAGGTTGATATTCAACCATTGAGTCATGCTGGCTGGGCCAGTCTATGGTATTTCGTTATGGAAGCCCAAACGGACTAAAACAGTTCTCAATATTTTTAAAAGCATAAAAGGGATCCTGAAGCCAAAATTTTTGAAAATCACTGAATTAGATAATAACCATTTGGTTGTGTGAATTAAAATGTTGGTAAACAACCTTTTTACTTCACAGGTACAATTTGGAAAAGTAATTACAATTCTCATTAGCTATTTGAAATAGAAAGGAAAAAATTAAAATCGTCTTCAAAATAACCTTATTTTTACTTAATATATCTAATTATATACCATTTGACAGCATATGAAAATGGTGAAACAAACTAAAGGAATCAATACAGGCTACTAAGGTACTTGCTTTGCTTTTTATTATCAGAAAACCAAGCTTGTTGATGTGTTTAGCTAGTACACACTAACTCTTAGAGTATTTGTTAAATCTATTAACTTTCTGAATATAAAATCAAACATAAAAGAAACTTTCAGCTTTGCTTCATATGAGAAAAACAGTGCTCGCTTCGGCAGCACATATACATATAAGAAAAACAACCAAACAAGTAACAAGATGACAGGAAGGAAACAGATTGATAAATACACTAAGTGCAATTTTTTAAACTACAAAATTTATTAAAAAACATAGGGAAATAATAAAGTAACAGTGAAAAACTATTTTAATATATGCAAAAATAAAAGATTTTGCTCTCCTAGTAATTGTAGATGATAGCAAAAATGGTAACAAAACTGTGGAAGTCACTAGGAATGAAAATTTTAATAGTTATAGGCCTTTAAGAATTAAATTATAAAAGCTGAGATAAGTAGGAAGATGTATTTACCTCAATAAATTTCTGAATTTCATGGACACAAATATATTGTAGTTACTTTTTAATGGCATATAAATTGTGCTTTTTTAATGGCATATAAATTGTGCACTCAAATACAACAGTTTTATTTATAGTAGTAGTCTAATCTGAAAATCAAACCAAGTGTTTAGTTTTTAAGGCCTAATGCTACATTCAAAATTACATTTTAATAAATCTCATTTCATATAACTTTGTACGTAAAGAAAATACTAATTCATTTTGAGCTAACCTCTCTTGGTTCAATGTTTTTATGAAAAATAATTACGCAGTCCATTTGGAAAAATATAATCAACCCATGGGCATGCAGATATCAATTTTATCTTATAAGAATTTCTCCATGTTCCAGTTACTTCATTCCTTATTACATGCTGCAAAAAGCAGTAATAATTTTTATAGCCAAATATCACTTCATAAGATACCAGGTGGCTTTCAATATTTACCATATAAGTCATGCATGAAATTTAAACATTACAGAAAATGACTTACCAGTTGACACTCCTGAAATATGCACATTTTCAGAATGTTCTGCAAGAGCACCATTTCCTAAAATTAAACATAATGGATAAACTAATTTCCAAAATAAAATTTATAACAATTTTCAGATTCTCCCTTTAAAAGAAACTAACCACATAGAGCTACGTGTAATATTCAAAAACTAAATAAAAGTGTCCTATATATCCTTCAAAACAATAGAAACCTAACATTTTAATGGTAGTAGGGAAAACACAGTATTTTTGAATTCACAAAAATACAGTGTAATATATATATATATATATATATATATATATATATATATATATGTATGTATGTCAAATATACACATGAGTAAAACAGAAAGAATTTCCTACCAATTTAATAGTCAAAAGAGAACCTCATATCACTACTAGAAAAGGGAGAATTATGCACTTTAAAAAACATATATTTTTATTGATTATAGAGAGAACAGGAGAGGGAGAGAGATAGAAACATCAGTTAGAGAGAATCACTGATTGGCTGCTTTCTGCACACCTGATTGAGCCAGCAATCCAGCATGTGCCCTGACCTGGAATTGAACTTGACCTTCTGGTTCATAGGTTGACATTCAATCACTGAGCCACGCAGGCTGGGTGAGAATCGAGTTCTTTTAAAAAATCATATTCCTCTAAGACAGTGTTTCCCAAAATGTGGTACATGTACCCCCAGGGGTACGGGAAGAGTTTGGTGGGGTACACGTTGCACCGGAGTTTGGTGGGGATATGCACTGCACCGTGCTTAGCTACGCCTAATTCTACGTTCTCATGAGTACGAGGGGTACTCAGCATTACGAAAATTACAGAAGGGGTACACATATGTCAAAAGTTTGGGAAACACTGCTCTAAGAGCATGCTCAATCCGTCAACAGCGTGGCTATTGCTAGGGCCATACATGTTGGCACATTAAAAAAAAAAAAAAAAGCCTTCACTGTCTCTTTCAATCTTATATCAACAACTCTAGTAGTCTTAAGACCATTAGGGGCAAACTTATTTCCTGATTTTCTATACATCCTATCACAAAGCTGGGGACATGGAACCATTCAAATATACTTCTAGTAATATATGTGACCAGAGAACAGCAAATTTTGAAGGGTAACTATTGCATTGCTCGGAAGATTGTTCAAGTTTATTAGAGGTTCTATTATGGGAGCCAAGGACACAGTAGGTCTACAATCTGAATCCTGGAGTTCTTTATTAGCCCCTCTCTCTGTCCCCTTCAGACCTCCCCTTTCTTCTGGTTCCTTTGTCTCCTCCTGATGATATATTCGGGTCTTTCCCTTCCATAAAAGAAAACTTCTTTCTTGCCAGTACATCTACCTGTTTCTGCTTTCCTATCTTGGTCTTTCCCTTCTTAGTTAAACTCTTTGAAAAAATCTATACTCACAAATGGAGCTTCCTTACATGTCATTTGCTCCTGAAACTGCCTTTTTCTCAGCCTGGTAATAGGCCAGTGCTCTGCCACAAGTTACCTCTTCACTCCTTAAACTCAGCTCAGGAATAGATCTCCATCCACCTCAGGGTGCATTAGGAGTCCATAATGTTCCCACCGTACATCAAATTTATACTGCATCAGGAACATACTGGAATTGAACCTGTAACCCTTCAGTCCACAGGCTGATGCTCTATCCACTGAGCCAGTGGATAAGTTATTGTGTAAGGTTATTGTGGATCTTATTCATAATTTTGTGACCCTTTGTTTTAGGTAAATAACTCCCTTGAGTATTTCCTACAGTGGAGACCTTCTGATGATAAATTCCTTTAGCTTCTGTATGTCAGGAAAAATCTTGATTTCTCCTTCATATCTAAAGGACAACTTTGCTGGATATATTATTTCTGGCTGGTAATTTCTCTTTCAGTAATTTGAATATTTGGTTCCATTCTCTTCTAGCTTGTAGTATTTCTGCTAGGAAATCCAATGATAAAATTAATGAACTTCCATTTATAAGTTACTTTCTTCTGTTTCTTTGGCTGCCTTGAGAATTTTTTTTTTGTCATTAATTTTTGACAGTTTTAATACAATCTGTCTTGGAAAAGGCCCTTTTGGACTAACATGATTAAGTGTTCTGTTTCTTGGATCTCTTTCCATAGGTTTGGAAAGATCTCATCAATTATTTGTTTGAGTAGCCTCTTTTCCTCTTCTGGTATGCCTATTATATTTATATTGCTCTTTTTTGATGGAATCAGGTAGTTCTAGTAAAATTTTTTTTTTTAATGCTCAAATCTCTCTTCTTCCCTCTGTATCATTTCTATCTTTGATATCACTAATTCTGTCTCCATCTGATTGGCTCTATTTCCTATACTTTTATTCATCCTTAATTATTTTTATTGAGTTCTGTATCTCTGGAATTTGTTTGGTTCTTTTTAAAAGTTTCAATCTCTTTGGTAAAGTACTTGTTTTATCTGTAGACGTGTTTTCTGAGATCATTAAATTGCCTGGCTGTATTCTCCTGCATCTTGTTGATTTTTTTTTCATAAATGTAATCTTGAATTCTCTGTCATTTCTATCACATAATTTTATAACTTTAAGTTTGCTCTCTAGAGAGTTTTCATTTTCTATTTGAGCTGCCTCACTATCTTGGTTATTCATGGTTATTTGATGGATTTCTTCTCTGCCTAGGCATCTATGTGTGGTACTTCTCTAGAGATTATTATGCAGAACCCTTTCTATTATTTTCCAGTAGGTGGCACTAAATAATAAGTTTTTAGCTATCTTGCACTTCTCTGGCTTTTCAGATCTCTGTGGGGTAGATGGTTTCCTCTACTGTGCACTGGTCCCACCTGCTGTCTTGGGAAATTAGGAATTATGGAACCTCAGTGCTGTCCTCCACAGCCAGACATTGCTGTGATTATAACAATGCCTGTGGGTGTGGGGAACCTGGCCAGCTTCTTTGCTGTTTTGCCCATCAAGCTATGGTGACCTTGGACTTCCGTGGGGTCTTTCCAGTGCTCAGAAACAGTGGCAGAGTGCACCCTTCGCTCAGGGAAAGAATGATTCTGTAGTACTAGTTCTCGAATTTGCAGATCATGTGCTACACAACATGACCCCAAAGGCAAAGCACGCCTCCACGACGTGGTTTCGGAGTCAGGAATGCTGACTGCCAGGCAACCACAGCAGCAGCTCTGACCTGTGTCTCTGCCCAGGTTGCTAGGCTCATCCACAGCTCATCCTGCTCACTCCTGCGGGAATGCACACTGAATCTCTCTCCTGGCGGAGTGAGTGCCAGCCACAACCTGATTCCTCCCCTCTCTGAGCCCCCCTGTGAACGCCCAGCTGAAGGGCTGCATCTCTGGCTCATCTCAGCTTTTCTCCCTTCCTACCTCCCTACTTTGCTCCTACTTGCCCAGCTTAAGATGTTTCAATGTGCAGATCTTCCAGGAATATTGTGCATTCAGCAGGGAATTCTTTGTTGAGTTATAAGTGTTCACAATGTTGACACTTCAAGGGGAGAGACCAAAGGAATCTCTCAAGCTACCACTCCTCTGACGCCTCTACTTATTACTTAATCAAAAGGACAATAATAAAAATAAAAATTAATAAAACACATTAATTACAGTATTTATAAATGTGAACATAACTAAAAAATCTAATGTTCAATATTAAAGAAACAGTTTATGAAGAGAAAGTGATAGGACAAAGTGCCACGGATATATGTCAAGTAATATCAATAAAACTACCAAAAATTACAATTTCTAGTAGTCAAATATGAATGCTCATTTCATTACCTTCTAAACACATTTTTACTATGTCTTTATTGAAAATTATGAACACTTAATAAAACAGTTTGATTTTTACATATTTACTAAATTAGTATGTGGTATTTATTTGCATTTCTTTAAGTTAATTTTGGTTTCCAATTTTATTAGTCATCCAATTACTGACCCTATAATTAATTATCTTTTATTCATCTACTAAGGAAGAAAATTAACATTTTACATAGAAAGTATTTGCATAAGTTATTTAATAGCCTCACAAAAAACCCTGAAGATAGGTAGCAGAAAACCGAATAATCTAGCATCTTGCTATTTAGAAATCTCAAATAGGAAACCAAAATTAATTAAAAAGCATTAATGAGCTGGCATCTATGGCTCATCTATCAGTACCACAAGCAGATGTGTTCTAATTATGAATTAAAAAAGCAAATGTGCCCTAGCCGGTTGGCTCAGTAGATAAGAGTGTCGGCCTGTGGACTGAGGGGTCCCAGGTTTGATTCTGGTCAAGGGCATGTACCTTGGTTACAGGCACATCCCCAGTAGGGGATGTACAGGAGGCAGTTGATTGATGTTTCTCATCGATGTTTCTAACTCTCCCTCTCTGTAAAAAAATCAATAAAATGTATTTTTTTTTAAAAAAAAGAGCAAATGTGCCCTAGCCAGTCTGACTCAGTGGATAGAGTGGCCACCTGCAGACTGAGGGGTCCCAGGTTTGATTCCGGTCAAGGGCACATGTTTGGGTTGTGGGCTCGATCCCCAGTGGAGGGCATGCAGGAGGCAGCCAATCAATAATTCTTTCTCATCACTGATATTTCAATCTCTCCCTCTCCCTTCATCTCTGAAATCAATAAAAAAATATATATATATATATTTTTAAAAGAGCATATATATCAGGAATTAAGCAGTTTGCATATAAACTACACTGAATTTAGAAATATCTGAAAATAAAACTACAAAAAAAGCAATATACTGTTACGGTTAAGAGAAGAGACCAAACCACCCTTTTTGGGTTCAAATCCTAGCTATTCCGCTTACTAATTATATAGCCTTAGCTACTTAACTTCTCTGGCTTCTTATCTATAAAGTGAAAATACTAACAGTATCTAGGCTGCCAGGGTTGTTATGAGTGTACATAAACATACAGTGATGAGAACACTGTCTGGCATACAGAAACTACCACTGTGTTTATTATTGTTATGAGTTTACAAAACAGTCCCTCCTTGCCTCTGCTACTTCATACAGCATAGCTTGCCATTCAAATACAGTTAAACCTAGTTTCTCGAACATCTCCCATCTTGAACAATTTGATTCTTGACCAAG